AGCTCAGCACCATCCCAGCCTGGTACCCTGCAGAGACCCCTCAGGTGTGGAATTTGTGCTCCTGGAGGATGAGCACGAAGAGATTCATTCCCCTGTGCCTGTGCTGCTGCCTCATCTGCATTCTGCCCTGGGCTCCCTCAGCCAGGCTGTGGCCCGCCCTGGTGGCTCCCTGACACCTGGGACACCCTGAGCTGCCACTCTGAGCCCTCTGGAACCTCTCAGCACAGTCCTTCTGTCAGTCCTGTCCTCTCCTCATCCTCACAAAACATCATTTTCCCTTCCTCAGGCTCAGCTTCACACCAGCACTGTCAGTCTGTAAAATCCCATGCCTGCAAAGCACACTTAGAATATTTTATTTTAATTTTTTTTAGGATGTTTCTTTTCAGACTGCTGTCAAATCCTCCCCAAAGACACATTTTTGTGTTCCCTGTCTCATTGTGAGCACCCCCTGGGGCTGTCAGCAGCAGAAGCTCCTTTTGGTTGAACTCTCAAGGGTTTTAATAATCCCCTCACTGTCAAATAATCACAGAATCAAATCCCTGGAAGATTTAGGCTGGAAGGGGCCTTAAAGCTCATCCAGTGCCACCCCTGCCATGGGCAAGGACACCTTCCAGGCTGCTCCAAGCCCTGGCCTTGGGCACTGCCAGGGATCCAGGGGCAGCCACAGCTGCTCTGGGCACCTGAGCCAGGGCCTGCCCACCCTCACAGGGCAGAATTTCTGCCCAATATCCAACCTAAACCTGCTCTTTTCCAGTTAAAATCCATTCCCTGTGTCCTGTCCCTCCATCTCTTGTCTCCAGTTCCTCTCCAGCTCTCCTGGAGCCCCTTTAGGCCTTGGAAGGGGCTCTGTGTTGAGTTTTATCTTCTTTTTATCACAAGGTCATCACAAGATGGTGTTTCTTGTTGAGACTCAGATGTTTATCAGTTCTTATCTCTCTCCCAGTCTCACAAACCCTGAGTTCTGCACCACTTCACTCTAACAAATAAAAAATGGGGCCCCAGCTCTCTCTCTTCAAGGCCTTTTAAGGATAAACTTAATTCTTAAGTGTCCAATTAATTTAGGTGTCCAGCTAAGAAATGATACCTCAATTATTTTCACTTTTAACCCAATAACCACCACCCATGGCTGCAATGGGGACTTTTTTATCCAATTACACAAAACCACCCAAACCCATGGAGAAAAAGGTGAAGAAGAAGGAGCAGCCTCCACCCTCAAACCTCCATCTTGTTTTTTATATATTGCTATATTCTAAACTCTTAAACTCTAAGTTTCTGTGATATCACACACTTCTATCCGAACCCCACACCCACAATCCCAGTTCTGTCATTCCATTCTGGAAGCTTCTCCACACCTCAGGTCGGTGCAGTGTTCTCCTGGGGGTCAGAGCCTGGCAGCACAGAAGGTCTGGAATTCTCAGCAATTCCCGAGGTTCCAACAGCTCTGAGCTCTCCCTGGATCCTTTTCTTCTCCAGCCTGGGCCCCCCCAGCTCTGTGCTGGTGACATTTCTCTGGATGGTGACATTTCTCTGGGCACATTTGGCCTGCAGACACACATGGCTGGGTCCTGTTGATCTTCTCATCCCCCAGCACCCCCAAATCTCCTCCCTGGGGCTCCTCTCATTCCGTTCTCCTTCCAGCCTCAGTTTGTGCTTGGGACTGCCCTGACCCACATGCAGAACCTCACACTTGGCTGAACTTCATTTGAAATACTTTGGTGCTTCCACATCTTCATGTTGATGTTCCTTCCATGTCCATGAATAATATAAAAGTGAGGAATTTGTTCTTCCCAAGTGGGAACAATAAATGCAGGGTAGGGAAAAGCTGCTTGTTCCTTTATGTTCCTTCCAATAGAGATGCTGGACTCGATTCCAGAAGGAATTTGAGGATCACTCCACCACAAATTGCTCTTTTTCTAGATATTCGACCTCATCTCTTCCTCTTCTTTTTATGGATGTTGAACACAACACCCTCCAAAGGCATCAAACTCCCACCCCTCCTCTGCCAGCTTCCCCAGCATCATTCTCTCAGGGGGATTTTGCAGAATGCAGATGGAACAATTCCTGGTCAGACCATCTCTGCTCTTCAAAGCCAGGCTTATTTCTTTCTTCCTCCTGCTCTTCTAGTGGAAAACAACGATGTAATTCCAGTTATTTTGGTGAACCAGTTGTTTACCACAACACAAGTGCTAATCCTCTCTTAATCCCCATGCTCCTTACAGATTTTGTTTAGTTTTTCATCAGTCTGTGTCAAGTCTGTCTGCTTTGGCAAAGAAACAAAAAATTTTGCTGGAGAAAGGTCACAACATCTGCCTGAGCCTGGCTGGGTTGTGCTGTAGCAGAGTTAAAATTGGAAATTGTGATGGCTCAGGCTTTCTCAGAATGTTTTTAGGAGAGTATAAAAAATTCATTTGGGTGATTCAAGGAGGAGACAGGGTAGAGCTTTGCTTGCTGTGGAAGAAAACAACCCCAAACCAGCCCCTCTGGGTGTTTTTCATGACTTTGGACTTCCCAGCAAGAGCAGTGACAGATAAATCACCATTGCTTTGGTCACAGAGCTATTGCTGTTGGCAGCTCTGCAGATGTTTTACACCCCATGTTCAGCAAGACCTCAGCAGCGAATTTTGGTGAAATCCAAATCATTGTAACCCAGCTTGGCTCCTGCAAGCCTCCAAGCCTGGGATGATTTGGATTTGCATCACAGCGTGCCTGTTGTTTAATCCTGACAGTCAGGCTGTGTGTCATGAGGTCGGGCTCAGAGCTCAATCAGCTCCAAATCTGGAAAAACACAATCAGTGCACAGCAAAAAAAACCCCAACCACCAGAGCTCTTAGTGGCTTTTCAAAGAGCTGCATTCTGTTCTGTGCCAGAAATTGCCCATTCAGAGGCTCACTGAGCTGCATTTCCAGCCCTGAGATATTTCTGAAAGGGGAGAAATGCAAGGGAGCCTCTGTGTTAGAGCAGAGCATGGCAGAGAGGGCTGAAATTCCACTTTTTGGTGATGGAAATACCTGGGGCAGCCACCTGCTCGTCACACCCACCTCTAGTGTTTCAGGATCCATCACCCTGCCCCCTTTAAAGGAATATTTTGGGTTATTCCCACCCCAAAATGAGAGTGGGAGGGGAATTTTGTGGTGGTCTTCAAACTTCTGCTTGTCCTGCTCAGGTTAAACCCAAAAAATTCCTCAAGGAAAGTGTAAAACTTCCTCAAGGTAAGAAATAACACAAATTTAGGCATAATGGAGCTCTAGATTTTAATTTTAACCTGTCTATAAATCACCCTTCTTCCTCTCTTTGTTTCTGTTTTTTTTTTCCCTCTTCCCCACCTAAATTCAATTTATTTATTCCTTTTTGCTGCAGCCATTCACAGCCTAAAGCTGAGCCGTAACCATGTGGACTGGCACAGTGTGGATGAGGTGTATCTGTACAGTGATGCCACAACATCCAAAATTGCAAGGACTGTCACACAAAAATTGGGGTTTTCCAAAGGTAAATCTTTCCCAAACTTTGTAAAGAATGTTGTAAATGCCAGCATTTGAAGTTTAACTCCAAAAGGTTTTAATGTGAGTACCCCACTTTGGCCATTGCATTTTTTTGCTTTATATGAGTATTCAGAGTCCTTAGCTTGTGAAAATAATTGTAATTAGATGTTAATATTTTTAAATTTTATTCTATTTGGATGTGAACATTTTAAATTTTTTTTATTTAGATTACATATTTGATTTATTATATTTTAATTTTATATTTATTTTTATTTAATTTTAAATTAAAAATTATAATTTAATTTTATTTTGATGGGTTTGGATACAGCAGTTAGCCCTACATAACAAATACATGAAAATATTGCAGTGGCAGAGGCCAGAATCTAAAATTAGAATTAAATTAGAATTCAATGTAAAATTAGGATTATTCCTTTAGAATTAAATTAGAATTCAATGTAAAATTAGAATTATTCCTGTAATAATATAAGGATTACAGTTCCTTTTGCAACCTTAATTTTACTGCTGGGTACTTAGATATTGTGTTGCATTCTTTAAATACATGACCATACCTTCCCTCTCCCCAGCCTTTTTTTCTGTTCATAAACCTCCATCCAGCCTTTTTTTTCTGTTCATAAAACAAAAGTATGAACTGACAGGAAAGGGCATTTAGACAGAAATTTTTTCCAGCAGAAATTCAGGCTCATTTAAACTCAACACTCCCAGTCAGGCAGCAAAGCTGAGATGGTGGAAGAGAGGGAGGAGTCTCTCAAGGAAAAAGCAAATTATTGCCAGCCTAGAAAATGGGAATTTGTCCTCTGCAGGACACCAGAGCAAGAACCTGCACATCTGGTTTGTTCCTTGAAAAGACAAGGTCAGGTCACAGCTCTGACTTTATTCTGCATCCTCTGCCCTGTAATTAATGCCCTTTTACCCCCCAGGACTCCTGGGTGAACACTTAATTAATGTTTCCTAAAATAATAATATAATTCAGTGCTTCAGTTCCAGAAGAAATGAAGTAATTTATCCAGAACACCTTGGGGATAATGTGTAATAAATAATGAGATCTGTCCCAAACAATTTGTGGAGGAGAAATGTCAAAGAGAAACTCACTTGATAAATAAAACCTGTCTTGGGTAAAAAAATGCCCTCAGTGGTTTTGGGGTGTTTTCCTCCTCTTTAAAACCAAAATAAGCTGTTAGTTCCAGTTCTGGAGGCCAGCACTGGTGCCTGCTGTGGTCCCCTGAGTGTCACTAGAGGGGGATGGAGGCTCATTGTGCCCGTGGGTTTGTCAGCACAGCAAGGGAGAAAATGCCCAATTTACCCTGGGGAACTGGGTTTGGGTTTGGTCACTGAGCTGAAGAACAAGGGGGGAATTTCAGGTTGGATCAGCTCAAAATAATGCAAGTTTCCCTATCAAAATGATACATTTTAAAGGTTTTCCACCAGCTCTTTTAATTGGGGTGGATAAAGTGACAACATTTAATCACTTATATGGACAGGTCATTTCCATGGTCTTTCCATGCTGTGGGAGTAAGGGGGAGACAGAAGGAATTTCATTGATGGAGACACCCAGGAGAAGGATTCTGTGGTGTAGAAGTGGGTGCACAGTTACACAACTGTTTTCTGAAGAGCTGTTCTCCAAAACATGCCTGAAATTAATTCCCTTTGCAGTGGAAGTGGCTATTCATATCACCTGGCTGCTCAAATCTTCCAGGACTGTAAAAGTACCTAGATTTAAAAATATTGGCACTTTTATTATGGCAAAATATACTTAATTGGAGGGGGTTTTATTTGCCATCAGGTGCAGAATCCTGGAATTCCTTGGTTTGTGATAAGGCAGTGTGTTAGCTTTAAAATAAATCTCTTTTGGATGACTTTGTCCTGTACACACATATTTAAAAATAGATGCTAATCCTTTAATTTTATGATTCACTATTATATAATCTGATTTTCAACGTGCTGGCCTGAGAAAAGCCAGGCTTCTGTCAGCAGAGGGGAACACTACACCTGGCAGAGTGTCTCTGATGTGGGATAATGTTCTTTCTGCAGCTTCAAGCAGTGGGACAAGGCTACACAGGGGCTATGTAGAAGAAGCCACGTTAGAGGACAAGCCACCCCAGACCAGCCACATTGTGTTTGTTGTGCATGGCATTGGGCAGAAAATGGACCAAGGAAGGATCATCAAAAACACAGCCATGTGAGTGCTTTGGGGTGTGTGCAACAGCTTTAATGTGAGTGACAGCAGAGCCTTTGGTTTGGGCTGGGTCTTTGCCTGTTTTCCTTCTCCTCCTCTCCTCCTGAGTCATTATTCTTTGTGTTGTGGGTACACTGATTTTTATGTTAATTGGGATGTATGGATTTAGGGAGAGCTGTGAGCCAGAAGAGCAAAGGTTTATTCTGATTTTATCACCAGCACTTGTGACTTTTGGGGAAATGGTGAAGAGGATGTAGCCTCAAATTTCAGCAGGTTCAGCTTGGATGTCAGCAGGAATTTCTCCATGGAATGGTTGTTGAGCATTGGAAGGGGCTGCACAGGGAGGTTTGTATTTGCTGGGAATGTCCCCATAAAGGCAGAAATGATGAATCTGACTCCATGTTCTCAGAAGGCTCATTTATTACTGTATATTGTATATATTATACTGTATATATTATAGAATAGTATAGTAAAGAATACTAAACTAAACTATATTAAAGAATACAGAAAAGTTACTTACTCAGTGCTAAAAATATAATAATGAAAACTCCAGACTCTTTCCAGAGTCTTGACCCAGCTTGGCCCTGATTGGCCATTGAATCAGAACAATTCAGAATCCAATGGAACAATCACCTGTGGGTAAACAATCTCCAAACACATTCCACATGTGAGCACAACACAGGAGAAGCAAATGAGATAAGAATTGTTTTCATTTTCTCTGAGGCTCCTGAGCTTATAATACTGTATTATATTAAAGAATACTATATTAAACTATACTAAAGAGTACAGAAAAGATACTTACACAGTGCTAAAAAGCTAATAATGAAAATTCATTACTGTTTCTGGAGCCCCACCACAGCTTGGCCAAAATTGGCCAAAGAGTCAAAACAACTCACAGCAGAAAATAATGAAACAATCTGTAAACACATTCCACATGTGAGCACGACACAGGAGAAGCAAATGAGATAAGAATTGTTTTCCTTTACTCTGATGCTCCTCAGCTTCCCTGGAGAAAATCCTGAGCAAAGGGATTTTTCCAGGGAATGTGAATGCCACACTGGGAGGTTTGGAGTCCCCATCCTTGGAGGTGTCCAAGGAGGTGGCACTCAGTGCTCTGGGCTGGAGACTGTTAGGAAAATTAATCCACAAACACCAGAGGTTTGTGTCCAAAAAGGAGACAGAGGAGTCCTTTGAATTTATTCAAATAAAGGGAGAGGCTGTGGGGCATTCCCCTGGGATCTCTCAGATTTTTGGAGGACACAGCCTCCTTTATATCCAAATTTCCCAGCCTCATTTCCCTTCTCTCTTTCCCCATTTCTGAGGTCCTTGAGATGTTCAGACTTCCCAAAACACCTGATACCAGAGATTCCCCCCCTAATGTACAACCCTCCCTTTTAATTTTTAATTCTCACAGAATTTAGGGGTTTTTCTTTCTCATTGTTTCTTTCATCTTTCAATGTCTAATTTCATTTACCAGCAAACCTAAAGTTTATTTGTAAAGCAAATATCTTTTTCCATTCATCAATCAGTGGAGAATCCTTCCCCTGGTTTCTTTTATCTCCCAGTGCTGGTTTTATCTACCAGCAGAACCACAGCTTGTTTGGAAAGACAAATCCACTATTCCTCTCAGGACAAGGTAGGAATTGAACTTACTGACATTTGAAAGGATTCTGTGTGAAATCCTGGCTCCTGTGGTTGGTGGCCTTGCTGAGCAGGGAGAGGTTCCTCATTTGGGGAATGTTGTTCCTCAGTGGTACCTGGGTGAATTCAGTGAATTCAGCAGCAGCTGGGAAGGAGCTGAGCAGAACATTTTTGATTAAGTGTCATGGGAAAGTTAATTTTGGAGTGGAATCTCTCAGAGCTGGGTGTTGGGATGGTGAGCAAGAAAATTGCATCCTGTAAAAGAGGGGGAATGGGGAGACACAGGAATGTTGTCATTCCCAGCAGGACAGGAGCCTTCCGTGGATGAAGCTCTTGCTGTGAGGCTGCTCATGGAGTTCTGTGCACAGAGCCTGGCTGAAAGGCAAAATGTGACCAAAAAGGCTGTGGAATCTCTTCACTGAATGTGTTTTGGGTTGCAGATGGCTCTTGGGAATGATGTTTCCCAGAGCTGTGGCTGCTCCATTCCTGGCAGTGTTCGAGGCCAGGTTTGGGCCCTGTGTCATCCTCACTCATGCCAGGGGTTGGAACTTCATGACTTTTAAATCCTTTCCAACCCAAAGCAATCTGTGATTTTATGCACTTGAAAAAAAATATTTTTAATCTTAGAAAAATCACCAAGTCCTGATGGCAGCTCTGTGGGGGACAAGGTGGCACTGAGGAATCCCTCATTAGCCAGAAGAGGAGGCTCAGAAGGTGTTAATTACAGATCTGGATGGCTCAATAGCTGTGTCCCAAATAGCTCCAGGTTCCCTCAGCACTGACAAACCCAGTGGCTGCTGTGGGAAGAGCTGGGATTGCAGGGATTTTGTGGTGGGAGCTTTGTCACTCTGTGCCATGGTGTCATCAGCCTCTTGTGTCCCCACAGCTCTTGGTGCCACTCCAGCCTCCTCTGGGGTGCCAGGGTAAACCTTTTGATGTCACTTGTGTGTCATTTGTCACCTCAGAGCCCCAGCCTGCAGCTCCCACCCCTTTCCTGCCACTTCACTGCTCGGTTATTCACTTTGTTTAAGAGCCAGCAATGCAAAGCTGAGAGAAAAAGGATCCACAGCCCTTGGCTCAAAGTTAGTCACCAAAATCAATGTAAAAACTTCAATTTTTGTGGGATGGAATTACACAGAATGCACATAGCCTCAGTGTAAGCTGCTCTTTTAACAATGACCAGAAATAAAGCTTCAGCCTTGGAATCATTAAATTTTTCTGCTTTATCTTTCTCCCTCCTCCATTTTCCATAGATAGAGGGTGGCTTAACTTCAGCTCAGGTCACAGTGCAGAGATGTTCATTCATTCCATAAGTCCTGCTCTAATTGGCAGCCCTGCATATGAAATACTTTCTCAAAAAGGGACACAAGACTTTATGTTCTTCAATAAGTCTCACTCACATCCTCAAGAAATACCAGACAGCACTGCATAGCCTTTTAAAATGCTAATTATTGGCATAAATTGTGCATTTTGCACAAAATTTGCAAATTAAAGCATCATTTCAGATTGAAGTATCTTTAGTTTTTCTTCCCCCCTTTTTTTTTTTTTTTTTTGAAATAACAACTTAAAACTTATCAGCGAGGAACATCCCATATGTTGCAGGGAGAGATTTCAGAAGGAATGTCTGCCAAGCTCTCACAAGCCATACTGGTACTTTCTGTTAGCACCTCCATCCATGATATTTGTGTGCTGTTTGGTTTTTGGGGTGGTTTTTTTTACAAGCTTTTCCATTAGGGACACACTGGTGCCTTTTGAAAAAGAAAATTAATAAGAAAAAGTATTTTTTGACCATTCAAGGAGAGAAGATATCAGGGTTTTTTTCCTTTTTAAATACACATTTTTTTTTAGCAGGAAACCTGCAGCTGGACCCCACCAGAGCTCTTTTGACCCATTCTGTCCTCAGGTTCCCACCTTGAGCAGAAGCTGGTGCAGCTCCCAGGGTGCTGCTGCATCATTAGGCAGATCCTGCTGGTTACAGAGCTGAAAACAGAGCCCTCTTGTCCAGGGAAATTCCAAATTATCCCTGCTAATTTCATTAAGGACTGCAGCTCAACCTCCTCGTTAGCCTGGCTGGATGCTGTGGTTGCAGGGTGTCCTGTGAGGAGGTAAATGGAAAAGGTGCATCTTGTGGATGCTTGGATGAGCAGCTCCGTGGTGGATGTGACATAATTTTATTTTTTCTGTGGTAGTTAAACACATTTATTATCTAAATGTAGCACAGCAGCTGGTGCAACAAGCTGCTCCTGTCAGCTCTGATGTTCCCTGGGACTCTTGGGAAGAGACAGCCCCTGCTCCAGGCTGGAGCAGAGATTCAGCTGCCCCAGCAGGAGCTCTGAGCTCTCTGGTACCACAGGGATGCTTCTTTAAGGGAGAAGGCTTTATAATCTGTATTTCTGCCCCATACAAAGGAAGGTTTTATGGCAGAACGTACTTAATTGGAGGGGGTTTTATTTGCCATAGAATCCTGGAATTCCTTGGTTTGTGATGGGGCAGAGTGTTGGCTTTAAAATAAATCTCTTTGGGATGTCTTTGTACTGTACACACTCACATGTTGGTATTTGGAATGGGGTTTTTTTCCATGGAAGTTGATCTGTGGTTTTGTTGAATTTGTGGGTGAATGGGAGGGAGAGATGTTGTTGCACGTTTTGAGTTTTGGTTCTGCCACCCAAACCCATGAAGAAGAAGGTGAAGAGGAAGGTAAAGAAGGACTAGCTTCTGTCTTTAAACTTAGAACTTCCGTCTTGTTTTATATATATTACTGTATTTTAAAACTTTAAATTTTTTACCTCGTGATATTACACACTTCTATTCAAACTGCAAACTTGTAATTTTAGTGCTATTAATTAATTCTGGAAGCTTCTCCACAGCCTCAGGTCAGTGCAGTGTTCTCTTGGGGGTCAGAGCCTGTCAGCACAGAAAATCTGAAATTCTCAGCATCCAGAACTCCAACATCTGAGTTAGAATAATTTAGAATCCTGGAATGGTTTGGGTTGGAAGGGAGATTAAAACTCATCTCATTCCTTTGGCAGGGACACCTCCCACTGTCCCAGGCTGCTCCAAGCCCTGTCCAGCCTGGCCTTGGGCACATCCAGGGGCAGCCACAGCTGGTCTGGAAATTCCAGCCCAGCCAGGAATTCCCAATTCCCAATCTCCCATCCATCCCTGCCCTCTGGCACTGGGAGCCATTCCCTGGCTCCTGTCCCTCCATCCCTTGTCCCCAGTCCCTCTCCAGCTCTCCTGAAGGCTTTTCATTGTCACATTTCTCACCCCACAGCCTACTCTTCTCCAGGCTGAGCAATCCCAGCTCTCCCAGCCTTTCCTCACAGGAGAGCTGCTCCATCCCTCTTGAGATCATCTTGGTG